TGTGTGACTGGTATTGGATTCGGCACGAGAGAAATGGCAATAAAAGGTTTGCCAGATTATTTTAGGTCTAACTTATTAAAATTACAAGTTTCTCGTAGCCTGCATGACAGGCGCAAAAGGGAAGTGGAATAGAGAGAAAAATACCTCTCTCCTGAATACCCCTTCTTTTCCCCTTCCTTCTGATTCCCAATTCCTTTTGACGCTTACCACACACGGTCAAATCTGGCCGATAGCTTATTTTTCTATTCAGTTTCTTTTTTATTATTATGTGTTTATTATTGCTAGTTGAAGCTGGTCACGTACGTGGGTAGGGCTTATACCAGTATGACTGCCACCTTCTTGTGCTCGTCAAATTTAGACGTACAGCTTTAAGGGGTACATGCCCTTATATCTATTTTGGGTGTACCACTTGGTTTATTTATTCCTATGTATTTTCTTAAGTTTGACAATCAGTCTTAAAGCCGCAACAGGGTCACCACAACAGCGCGTGGCGCCAATTACTGCGTCCCCGTAATATAACAGCAGTCCCACCTCCCATGAGAGATAAATCATCACATTGGGGACTGCACCCCCTACCCTTAACGAACAGTGTGTTAGTTCGTTAACGTCCCACAGAGTTTATATGTTTAAGGGTTGAGAGACGGGGCCTACAGTTTAGTGTCCTTATTCAAGAAGACTAGTATTGTCAAACCGTTCGCAGTTGCCTGTGCATATTAGGCAGAACTTTTTCTTCAGCTATTTAAGGTGTTTCGATTCGTTTTTTCGGAGACCATACAGATGTTTTTCAATCGCCTTTAAAATTATTTTGTTCTTGTCCGTTCGCTACAAAATTTTCATCAGTGATTGACTATGAATTGAAGTTTGTCAGCTTGTTTGCCCGTTGAACGCGTTACGCAACTATGGCGATTGATGAGGAAAACTACGTCGTGTAAGAAAACACCAGAGTCACCCGGCTGTTCCTCGTCGCTGATTTGCCAGAAATTTTTTTTTTCTGGCCAATCAGAAGCAGGCAATTCAAACGCTTCTGGAACTGGTTCGGTAAGAGTAAGTGCCCAGGGGCTCGTCTCGATCTTATAGAAAACATTCACCACGAAAATTCTATCGTCCCCGACCAGCTTCCCCTGGGTCTCCGAGGATGACAAAATGAGAAGACATAATGTACAATCATGTACTTCTCGCGAAAACATCTTCATCCCGCATGCTTCAGCTTTTGCGCAAACTGG